CTAAACCTCGGTAGCACATGTCTTCAGAGCTAGTTTTGTGGAAACCATGGCAGGCGTGGCACTTTGCGAGATTCGGCGTGTCACTTTTTTGGGTCTTCGTTTTCGTGTGGTTGAAAGGCCGAAAACACCGCGCAAAACGAGGTTTTCGTGATGTCCACATTCCAAATTGCGATTTTGCCGTTTACCCCAAAGTTTGTGTTTTCTTCTACGTGGTTTCAAAGATGAGTAAGCAATGAACTTTTCAACCGCAAATTGTGGCAGCAAAGAGAGATCAATGAAAACGACCTCTTCGTCGCATTATCGAAACATTGGGAATTGCCGCGGATTTGTGCATGTCTTCGCGAAAGCTGCATCGGATCATCTTCGTGAGATGTGCCTATCGCAGGAACACGCATCGGATGAACTTCGTCAGATGTCAGAGGTTCATGTGAGTTGAGCAGAAGATAGGATAGATTGGAATCAGGATGAAAATATTGGGAATTCGTGTTGATTGAGGAGGATTGGTGAAATTTTGTCGCGACAACTGCATCGGATCATCTGCGTGAGATGTGGCTATTGCAGGAAAACGCATCGGATGAATTTCGTCAGTTCTGAGAGATTCATCTGAGTTGAGCGGAACATAGGATAGATTGGAATCAGGATGAAAACATTGGGAATTCGTATTGATTGCGGAGGCTTGGTGAATTTTTGTCGCCACAACTGCGTCGGATCATCTACCTAAGATGTGGTTGTTGCAGGAAAACGCATCGGATGAACTTCGTCAGATTTGTGAGATTCATCGGAGTTGAGCAGAAGATAGGATAGATTGGAATCAGGATGAAAACATTGGGGGTTTGTACTGATCGAGGAGGGTGAAGTTTTGTCGCGACAACTGCATCGGATCATCTTCGTGAGATGTGGCTGTTGCAGGAAAACGCATTGCATGAACTTCGTCAGATGTCAGAGGTTCATGTGAGTTGAGCAGAAGATAGGATAGATTGGAATCAGGATGAAAACATTGGGGGTTTGTACTGATCGAGGAGGGTGAAGTTTTGTCGCGACAACTGCATCGGATCATCTTCGTGAGATGTGGCTGTTGCAGGAAAACGCATTGCATGAACTTCGTCAGATGTCAGAGGTTCATGTGAGTTGAGCAGAAGATAGGATAGATTGGAATCAGGATGAAAACATTGGGGGTTTGTACTGATCGAGGAGGGTGAAGTTTTGTCGCGACAACTGCATCGGATCATCTTCGCTGAGATGTGGCCATTGCAGGAAGGATAGATTGGAATCAGCATCGGATGAACTTCGTCAGATGTTGTGAGATTCATCTGAGTTGAGTGGAAGATAGGATAGATTGGAATCAGGATTGAGGAGGATTGGTGAATTTTTGTCGCGACAACTGCGTCGGATCATCTACCGGAGATGTGGCTGTTGCAGGAAAACGCATCGGATGAACTGAACTTCGTCAGATTTGTGAGATTCATCGGAGTTGAGCAGAAGATAGGATAGATTGGAATCAGGACGAAAACATTAGGAACTCGTGTTGATTGAGGAGGATTGGTGAATTTTTGTCGCGACAACTGCATAGGATCATCTTCGTGGGATGTGGCTATTGCAGGAAAACGCATCGGCCGATCCTCGTCAGATTTGCGAGATTCATCTGAGTTGAGTGGAAGATACAGGATAGATTGGAATCAGGATGAAAACATCGGGAATTCGTGTTGATTGAGGAGGATTGGTGAATTTTTGTCGCGACAACTGCATCGGATAATCTTCGTGAGATGTGGCTATTGCAGGAAAACGCATCGAATGAACTTCGTCAGGTTTGAGAGGTTCATATCTGAGCTGAGTGGAAGATAGGATAGATTGGAATCAGGATGAAAACATTGGGAATTCGTATTGATTTAGGAGGATTGGTGAATCTTTGTCGCGCAAACTGCATCGGATCAACTTTGGCCCACGCTCACGCAGCACGGACGTTATTAACCCCCCCACCCACCTCCACCCCACCCCCCTCCCGAAGACAAGTCCCAATCCTCAGAAATGCACGAAAACGCACGACAGTTAACGATCCGTTAGCAAATACATGTGCCTGAATAGCGACCAAACTGCGGTTCAGCATGAACACCTTCATCTGCTGTCGCAGAAGCATGCTTATTCTTCTTGCTACTACGTTCAGTTTGCACCGAGGTCTTGAAAACACGATGGTACTCGTAAAGAAGCTTTGGCTCTGAGTGCTTTGACCACGGCACAGCAACAGGTGCTACTATCACTGGCATCCGGAAAAACCATCCCGGTGTTACCATCAAGGCGCAGCTGATTGCAACATCAAGCTCAAGACGCTACGGGTCTCCTTTGCGGAACTTCACGCACTCAACTTGTGGATCATGTGTAGCGGGCCTGCATTCAAAGCATCTGCACACTGCCAAGTCAGGTTACAGACAGGAGGCAATTCCATGGTTGTGTATCCCGGCATGGCGACAGGTATAGGGGTTTGATTGGCATGAATGGCACCTCGCTTCCTCGATTTACTCCTCTGTGGTTCAGCGTGCACGAGCAGCCCAGCATCCGAGTAAGCGCCCTGTCCTTGTTCCCTGCATGCCAGCACACTGGCATAGGCCTTCTGCGTCACAGGTGAATCAGCCAGCTGGGGCTTCTATGGCATCGATCATCATCACCGGAGATCCGAAGATGGTTCCCTCTGCTGAGGCACGAGTAAGGAGGTCACTGACTGTTACCAACATCTCGAGGCTTCATGTGGATTCATGTGGGTTACATCTTTTGTTAAGGGCACTTCAAGCAAGGTACAAGATGCATGTGGACGGAACGTCAACAGCGCGCTTTGAAGAATCCTCGCTAAACGAAGCCTCCAGAGATCATGTTTATGGGTTATTCCGATGTATATCGTCTCATCCACAGCGACGAAGGGTCGGATCCTAAAACTCTAGCTTGACAGACTGCAAGGATCTTGTTGTCATGGTCAAGTTCTTGCAGCGCTCCACTCAGTCAGGAAGCTGCGCTGCACCCCGTTTAACATTGATGTCCTTGGAATGGCCTCGTGTTCCAAAAGAGAAAATCTATTACACCAAACCCCATGCGAAGCTTATGGCAAGTGGTGTCATGAGAGTTTGGGTGGTGCCAGATTCCCTGTCCCTCCACTGTAGCACAAACCTTCTTCCCCTGCAGGTGGCGGTGGTCGAGGTCGCAGCTCCTGAGTTTGCGAGTTCCGAGTCTATGTCTTGCTTGGTTTCGTCAGAGTTTCGGACTCCAGCGGTTCGGGTTTATACCTATAATATATATATATATATACATATATATATGCATATATATATGCACATATAAATATATTCCCACATTTATTCATGTATACACATGTAATTAGGATATGTACGCAGCTCTACATAATTATGTGTGTTCATCAGTTCGGGTGTGCCACCGTGCAGAGTTTCTCAAAGTTGTACGGTGCATCCACGGCTGGGCTTGGGCATGTTGTCAAAGTTTCTTGGCGCTGGGGTTGGGGTTGCAAAGAGCAGTAGCTCAATAGGTCCACGCCCATGCCGGCAATCGCGGCTTCTGGGGGCATTGTCGGCAGACCGCACTTATCCAACCTGCACTCTCAATTCAACCCCTGATGGGCAAAGCTGCAGCTACATGCTGAAGGCAAACCCAGGGCATAACGTGTAGCCTCAAAAACAGTGATACAGGGTGGACCCAGCCTGCGGGACCGTGCCTCTGTAAATTGCTTGCCTGCTTTTTTGAATCCTTGCGGCATCTTGCGGCTGTGCACTAGGCGTTGATGAGTGGCCCTTCGCAAGGAAGCCAAAAAGCATCACGAGGCAGTCTTGTCGTAAGGTCGGGGGAGGGAACAACGTGTTCATAGGCTTGAACTTGCAGGGCGTGTCGGCTTGCCCATCCGATTTGGTCATGCGCCTTACCGTCGCACGTAGCTTTTCGTTCCATGATGTAGGCATCGCAGAGGAGTGGCAGCAAAGAATATACTCTGTAGTGAGAAGCATGTTTGGGACATAAGCATGGCAAATTGCGGTTTTGTTGAAGCTTAACAGTTAAGAAGAAGATCTTTAGTAAACAACCTCAACAGTCTTTTCAATGGCTACCGGCCTAGCTATGCAACATCTTCAGCATGGCCTTTCCACTCAGATTCAGCTCAGTTCCAAGTGCAGTTCAGGGTTTTGCGACCGAGCGGGCTACATGAGAGCTTCTCAGGAGGTGTGCATGGATGTGCCTGATGCAGGCGGTGCCATGATGCTGCCAATGCTGCACAATCCGCCACGGTAGAGGCGCGTGTATGGTGATGACAGAATGATTTCAAGAAATAGTGCTGTAGATACCAAGACACTTGTGCCCCAAGGGGATTTCGAGTTTTGGCCCTTCTAATTTGGTAGAACTTCAAGATGTGTAGTTTGTGGAGGTGGGATCGGGCGGAATGTTGTTTGTTTGGTTCATGACGCTTGAGATTGGGGGGGCAGGTTGGAAGCTTGTGCTGCTGACAGCTTATGTCGGTTGATCCCTGAACAGCCGAAGAAATCACCCCGCTGACCGCTTGGACCAACTCGTGATTTACCATGAACATGGACAGTTCATGCACAGTCCCGCAGAAGTTTAGCGCGTTGTGAGGCTCCTAAAATCCCAAAATGTCACACCTATGGGTGAGTCACAGTGAGTCCGCCTGAGTGCTTTGGACAGTTTCCAGGTCCTGCCACAGCCATGCCGTGGACTTCAAGGAGCATTCTGAGGTCATCAAATTCTGCACGAGACGATGATGAGATCGGAAGAGTCACGCAAGATGGTCCCGCGTGTTCCGCTGGGGGCATATGCCTATTTGCGATTTGCGTCCTCCATCTTCGCCAAGCATGGCTTTGGAGCAACACGTCGGAGCTGGGAGAGGTGCAGAAGGAGATGCCGCCTGCAGCATGAAGTCGGAGTGCTCAAAAAAAGCTCCAGATGCGGTCATATGCAGCCATTAGGTTTCGGAGAGTCTGCGACGGAGCAACCTGCGAATGTGGCAGCTTGCTCACCTAGAACCTGTTGATCAGCTGCCTCTCGCTCGTAGCCCTCGCTGCTCAAGCTTTCATCACAAGGCCTTTGACACTCGTCCATCCCACTTGGAAGACATGGCTCCGGCGATGAAGTCCGCGATGAAGTCCAAGGCCATGAAGACCGGTGCCAAAGCCATGACGAAGGCCCAGCTTGCCGACCAGCTCGCCACCAAGTCCGAGCTCAAGAAGAAGGATGTCTTGTCGGTCCTGCAGAACCTTTCTGAAATCGGTGCCAGCGAGGTGACCACTACCGGCAAGCACCTTGCCGGCAGTTCAGGATTTGATGCTGCCATGCCCACTTCCGAGGGCCAGCAGCATTTGGTCGAAGTGATCTGGCGTCGGTCTGAGGTTTGTTTTGCCAGGACTCTGCATGATCAAGACTCGTGCCTGGGCTTGATCTCATGATATAATTGATCATTGCGGCTGGTTACAGCTGGTTGCGTGAGAGTCTGGGGCTTTCCAGTTGCAAGGTCAGAAGCCTGCCACGAAGGCTGGCACTCGCATGATGCGCAGCGCTTAGAGTTTGCTGCTTTAGTCAGGGCCGAGCTTCGCAGAAGGTTTGGGCCCGCCACCTGGGATTCTTAGCGGCGCTTCCGCATGGCTGCTGAGCTTCCCTCTTTTGGGGGCATTTGAGTCGCCGATGCCGCGCTGTGGTCTTCTTCAAGGGGGCCCAGCTCTGCGTTAAGCTTCATCAACTCGCATGATGTTCGGCAAGGCCAGCATTGGGCTACTGGCTGAAGACATTCTGAGCCGTGATGTGGCTTCATTGCATAATCTACTGTTTGCTGCAGGAGGTGCAGGTCAAGGCGCAGAAGGTGGGACCGCTGGTGCAAGCAGTCGGTGACTTCGGCACCTTGCTACCTCAGCTTGCCGTCAGGCGAAGACGGTTGTGAAAGCGACGCCGCTGGCCGCACTCAAGAACCAGATCTAGGGGGTGGCTCTGAGCTGCGGGCAGCGGAACTGCAGCTGGCTGCATGCTTGTCGATGGGGTTCAACGGTGGGCGCGCAAGCTTGCTGTGAAGCGAGGGCTCTGTTCGTGCGCAATCAGACGCACGCCGTGTGCCGATAGTGCCGGTTGACAAAAAGCTGTCTGGGCAAGTCTGTCTTCCAGTCGTTTTGACCAGCACCATGTACAGCGTCAAACACGTGGTTCTGTCATCAACTATCGGAAAGCCGGTCCGTTCCATCCGCACCACCAGCTAAAAAAACCCTGATCTGTGACACCCTCAACCGAGGCTGCCTGGCAACAAGCTGCTTTTGTTCGGGGAGACTTGCAGCATGTGCGGATCCCCGCAGTTTTTTTAGCCCTCGGCAGAGAATCTAGGTCAGGATTCGAATTCAGTGTGCTTGGGTAGGTTAAACGCGGCTCTGGGAGTCATTCCGCGGCTTCGGTTCGACACGACAGTATTCGATACTTGCAACTCCCACCTTCGTGGCCTGCGACGAGTTCCTGTGGTTTGTATTTCAACTGAGCAGGTGTCGAATCCAGCCGACCATCTCGGCACCGGAGGCGAAGACCCTGAAGCCTAGCAGCTCTCACAGATCGCTGGCACGCATTTGAGTTTCAGCCGAAGCGCTTACTGTCTGCCCCACATGGATCCATGATAAACGGGGTTGACTGAGTGCTTCAACGTGCTTCTGTTTTTCCGGGTAAGTGAGAAAGCTGCAGGGGTGGGCCAACAAAATGCCCGCGTTCCAGCCAGAGCTTGCTGCGACCGCCACAGCACCAGAAATGCGTTGGCTTGACAGGCGAAACGGAAGGCTCCTCGTCAGGCGCAGGCGCACATGCAGGGTGGACAGACAGTAGTTATACCTCTTGGCGTGTGAATGGTCTTCGTCTCAGTTCCCTGAACAGCCTTTGGAATGACCGGGCTGATCTTCAACTTCTTGCCACCCCAGAGAGGATTATGTCCTATCATGGGTATCATCGCACTTCGGAAAGAAGGTCCGCCATAGAGCATTGTCTCAGAGGCTTTCCTGGGTGAGAGACATCAAGATGGTGTAAAATCGTCGGGTTGGAAAGTCCCACGCGCTTCAGATTGCCACTCTGGCTTAGGCCTACGTTGCAAGAACCAGGCATGAAGCTCTCCTATTGTGCCAGGCTTTCTGTTTTGTCAAAGTCCCCGAGCTGTCTGTGCTCAGGCAAAGAGTGCGTCCTCCAACCGCCCCGAGGACCGACTTTAGGAGAGTGCTTCTGGGGGAGGGGAATTGATTGGAAGTTTTGCGGGCGCGCAGTGTCCTTCTTCACCAGAAACAGCCATTCTTGCTGCGTGCAGCGGTCCCTATTATGCCAGATGTTTTGCTTGAAGGAATCAGAAGGATCTGCCTTTAACAATAGCGTGTTCTTATCGTGCGGGCCTCGGGGACTGAGCGAATCGCAATGATGCCCCATCGACTTGCAAAAGGTTGCAGCTGCAGTTCTGGTATGCTGCAGATCAAACCTGGAATTCCAGTTGTTGTGTTGTATGTAGGATTGAGAGACCAGAAATGTGGAAGCGCGAAGCGGACAGGAACAGAGCTGAGGTGAAGGTTTGTTGCTCTGAGCTTGTTTAATCTCAGAAATTCTCAGAATACAGTGGTGTGATACGGTTGCTGTTGAAACCTGGTTTTGGGAATGTGCTACGGCGTGGTGATGTGCTTCAGCTGCAAGATATTTAGCTAAGTCGGCTTTCTCCTTAAGAAAAGTTCAATGTGTTGTCAGAGCGCTAGCTTTTCAAACATGGACATCATGGGAGATTCTTCCAAAGGTCATCAGCCGCGACGCCCAAGCCTGCAGCTGCTGCAGAGCTTGCTTGGGCACCCTGTTTCGTGCTTGGGGATGCATTGAATGAGTCAGGCTGAGCGAGGAAGCTTCTTGTGCCTCCACGAGCTTGATTGGGTCTAATGATAGCTGACAGGTTCGCATGTTTGAATCATTGAAAGTGTCGCGGGGACTGCGCGCGGGTAGATTCTTATGATTTCGTTAGGCAGGCGGCAGGCTTGATCGGGGTTCCGAGAGCTTGAGGGCTTTGTTTGCAGTCTTTATCCGCAGCGAAGTTCTACACCCTTATGCAGTGGCTGACCTTGGTTCGACGAATACGGCAAGAAATCCACGAAACGCTTGTTCAAGATCTTAACGTTGCACTTGGCGAGGCAGGATAATTCAAGAACACACTTGAATTACTTGATTCGACTCGAAGTGTAGGATGGGACCAGGTTCCATACTGCCAGAACGTTTGGTGAATGACGCCCTCTAAATTTAGGCGAAGCCGCCCTTGCTGGAATGAATCTCAGCGGGAACCCTGGATCTCCTGATGACAGTTGCCGATTGCCAGCTGCTTTGACTGCGTAGCGATCTGTCGACAAGCATGCGAATCATTGCTTTGTGGTGCGCTGAGGATTAATTCGCGCACTGCGCTATGGTGCTGCGCGTCGTTGTCTTATGCTGTCCACGCCGAGTCTGTTACAGGCTGGTTTGTGGTTGAAAACTTAAACGGCTTTGGCTTTGCGTTTGCAGGCCGCATGCCCGCGCCAGGATCGACCCAAATTACATTAATTCCTTTGGCTCACACCCAACTAATCCCAGAGATGCCACGCTGCAATGCCCCTTACCTTACTATAGCAAAGACCTTCCGCCTCCACAGTCGGTCCCAAACGACAACTACAGTGTCTTTGGCTCCGAACGAGGAGGACAGCGCAGCGAGCTTCTGGTGACCTGACGCCAGTGCATTCGACAGCCCGTGGCACGCGGGACCTTTAGCCCTCACGACAAGACACGCTCAAAGATTCCTCATGCATGTCTGCATCTACTACGCGCCTGCTGTGCCACAGTGCAAACACACGCAAGCAATGACGGCAGCTGTACAGTTCTGCAGGGGCCACAGGCTCCCAGCCAAAGCACCGGAAGTAGGGCTTCCACATTGTTTCTACGACTGCTCTCCTAGTCCTTTCCTGCATAGTTCACGTGGCCCCACAGCTTGATGATTCTGGAGCCTCGTTGGTGCGTGGGAGCCTGTGGACAGTGTGCCTCAGTGAGTGGCTGATTGGACTTGTGGGACGAAGTCAGGGGGCGAGGTAGGTTCTTGTGTGGAGTGTGGAGTGCACAGTGCACAGGGTTTTCGTGCTTGGCAGGCTCAGAGGCCAAAGAAGAGATCTGAATCGGTATGTTTTCTCGGCATAGAGCTTGCCATTTGTTCGGGAGGAAGCGCTACCAGTCGGGACCAGCAAGGTGTCGGTCCCCTCTGACGGATAGGCTGTTCAGGGTGTGCCAATTTCAATTTCAGGTTCAGCGCTTGGGGCCAAGCGGCTGTATGACCTGCGTGGATTACTATGCACTTCTACGGCTCTAAGGGTTCTGGCAGATTCTGGCATATCTCAGCAGGTCACGAAGCCGACAAGCCTTTCAGCATTTGAAACTTAGGGTCCCGTTCAACATTCTTGGCTGTTTGGTGTCGCGGCCACGCAAAGACAAAAGAAGCAGGGGGCCTCGCGCATCGCACAGCATGGTGTGACTGCTTTGACGACGTCACACATTTCCTCTTGGAGCCAGAGAGAACTTCGCGCACGAACGTCCTGGGAGGCGGGAAGCGGGATGAGCCACACTGGTAGCGCTTGAAGGGAGGCAGGCGGGGGATCTTAGGCCTTGGGCCCCTCTTAGAGACGTCGCTTGCTTGTCTTTTCGGGCGCCTCAAGCTCAAAAGCGCTACCACTGCGTCACTGTGTCCTTTGCGTGGACTTGCATCAGCCTGTGGTAGAGAAAGCAGATGCCCAGCCTTCGAGTTCATGCCAATTTTTCGCCTCATGAGCCATTGAGCCATGGCAAAGAAAGGCGCCATCCAACAACAGGGACATGAAGGATCAAAGTTTGGGACTCCTGAGTGCAAGTCCCAAGGGTTAAGAGCTGGCATAGGAGTGATCTTTGCAAATGTTCTGGTTTCAGCTGCCCATTTCTCTGACCTCGACGGTGAGTCTTGGATGCTGATTGCTGGGGCGAGAGTGCAGCGACGAATCCTACAAACTCGACTGCACTTTCGACTGCTTTCTCCGCGAACCTGCATCGCTTTATTTGCACCCTTCGTCTGGTTGTTCACGTCTTGGCTCTTTTAGGGGGAGGTGACTGAGAGACATGATCGGAAACCCTGCGGAGGCACCTTCAACAGCTCCTTCTTCGGCAATTTTGCCACCAGGCGGGCAGCAGGGCAACACAATAAGCCGAGTCTTTCAGGTTCGAGCTCAGCCCCCGCCGCTTGCTTTTGGTCTGGTACAGTGACCCGAAGGTCTCTTCACAAACCCTGCCCACAGCACCAGGCTCCACGGAACACCCGTGCGCTTCGGCATCCTGCTCGGCCAGCGTGTTCTCACCTCGGTCAGGACTCGTCAAGGGAGAATGTGGAGTTCTTGGAGCCTTCGGGGATGTAGTGGCTTCGGCCGCAAAGGACGACAAGTTGGATTTTCACTCATGAGCTTCTAGATAATTTTGCGCGGCTTTGGTGTGATAGGACGCAGACACGACAGCTCTCAATCCGCATGGCAGACACCTATTCATCTTCTGTTTCAGCTCAATGCGCCGGGTTGCTTCTGAATAACCCCACTCAGCTAGGTCGAGGCGTCCCTTGGAGACGTGGTGCTCGCTGCTGCGACGCCCCAGGTGCCAAAGGAGGACGCGAATCGGCCTGCGGGCCTGCAACGGCAACAAGATAAGGGAAGGGCAGTGGCAACGAGGTTTGAAGTGCTCGAAATTCGGCCCTTGTCATGCGCTTGTTTGGAATTTATACAGACGCCGTGAAGTGTGCCGTGGGCTGCGTTGCTCCTACTACGCATCAGGTTGCCTTAATGCTTGGGCCGCAAGAAGAGTGTCACTAAACCTTGCGAGGTTCTTGTATGAGAGCTGCCTGGAATTGACCACATCTGTTGCATCCTGGCGCACAGCACAAGATCGCCTTAAGACCGCAGCAGCACAAAGGTCCTGAATCCCCAAGCCCCGAAGCACAAAACTCGCCAAGCATTAAGTGCCTTCGGGATCAAGACTTCAAGACAACAAAGCCATGCCCGACAAACCGCCAGCTCCCTGAATCTTCGGGAGAGGATGGTGAAGCCCCGCCTATCAAGGACCGGGGCATTTCTTGGTGGCTTAGGGCGTAGGGCATGAAGAGTACTGGCTTGTGGGAGACACCAGAGTTTGCTGTTGAAGCTTGTCGTTGAACACCGCCTGGACATATGCACGGTTTCAACGGTGGGAAGTCATCGATTGAGAGCCTTGAAGTCTCTACTTTGCAACGAGCCCTTGGCCGGGAACACGTGCGGAGAGGCTCTATTGTGCAGCATCCCAAGGCTACAGGGTATGACTGCATCTTAGGTCTCTCTGGATGGGGGCTTACTTGAAAGAAAGGGTCTGCTGTGGAGTCACGTCTGCCGGCACCTTGTGGAAATGAGCCTACTTCATTTACCCCAGGCACATATGGTCACGCGCTCCGCGGCCCTCCCCCCAAAGGTCAATGGTCCAGATATAGGGTGGGGCCCCCCCTCCCCTGTGGTGTGGGGTGTGGGTTCCCTCTTCCCCCTGTGGGGTGGTTGTGGGGGTTTTGGGATTTTGGGTCTAGCTTAAGCTTTTGAGCTTTGGGTTTTACATGGTATAAGGGTATAAGGCTTCGAGTCGACAAGGGCTTAGGGAGGATTTGCGGTGTATGTTCTGCTTTGGGCTTAGAGCCTGCAGTTAGGTGGGGTTTAGGGTTGGGTGTACGGTTTTAAATACAAGTTAAGGTTACTCAAAACAGGGGCACGCGCTGCGTTTTTTAGGGTTTACGGCTTGCTTGCGAAGGGCTTGCGTATGAGCCCTGGCCGCCAGCACCACCCCACCGCGGCAGCTCCAACGGCCCCGACCCCTTTCCGCGCACGCCACCCCCCACCCCCTACCAGACCATACCATTGCGGGGGAAGGGGGGTGGGAACGCCAGACGCCTGACCATAATGGTCACGCGCTCCGCGGCCCCCCCTCCCCCCCTCCCCCCCCCAAAGGTCCAGATATAGGGTGGAGCCCCCCCTCCCCTGTGGTGTGGGGTGTGGGTTCCCTCTTCCCCCTGTGGGGTGGTTGTGGGGGTTTTGGGATTTTGGGTCTGGCTTCAGCTTTTGAGCTGGGCTTTACAAGGTATAAGGGTATAAGGCTTCGAGTCGACAAAGGCTTAGGGAGGATTTGCGGTGTATGTTCTGCTTTGGGCGTAGAGCCTGCAGTTAGGTGGGGTTTAGGGTTGGGTGTAGGGTTTTAAGTACAAGTTAAGGTTACTGAGTTTGAGTAATTCAAAACAGGGGCACGCGCTGCGTTATAGGGTTTACGGCTTGCTTGCGCAGGACTTGCGTATGAGCCGCCAGCACTATCCCACCATCCAGTGGCAGGGTGGGGGGGGGGGCTGGCGTGTGCGCGGTCCGTTGGAGCTGCCACTGGATGGTGGGATGGTGCTGGCGGCCAGGGCTCATACGCAAGTCCTG